GCTCCCTCGCCCGCCACTCCCTCACCGGCCTCATCGACATCGACCGCACCGCCCCTCTCCCATTCAGCTACGTGCTGCGGGCGGCCTATGTGCTGGAGCAGGGCAGCAACGAGTGGCCTGGGATGGGGCGGTTCATCCGGCTGGCCGCCATCTATCGGCTGACGCCTGCCAATGGGCTGCCCCTGGTGCTGTCGGCTCAGTGGCTGACAGCCCACCTTCCCAGCAGGACGGCATTCCATCAGCTGCCATTGGCCATTGCCATCTATCGGTCGTTCGGCCACCTGCTCACACACAGCGGGCAGAGCCTAGCGCTGCAGCAAGCCGACAACGGACAGTATCGGATGGGCAACGAGGCGCCGTTTCGTGTGGTGCCGTTGGGTGAGCTGCCGGGCGGCCATCCCTATGCTGAAGGCTACAAGAGGACCGATCCCGTCATCCGATCTGGCGGCTGGCTCTATCACTCATTCTCGGCATTTCTACTTTACGCGCTTCTCAGCTGGTCACATGAAGAGGGAGTGGGTCACAGGAGGGTGCTCGCAGCAAATATCGGCCGTGGTGACAATCGGTATGGCCGTCTAGTGAGGACTGACGACATCAGTGAGGATCAGGGCATCGCGGTCGACTACCGCGACGTCTGGTTCAATCTGAATGCCGCGAATCCGATTGACCTTCGTCGTGTGATTGTGAGCGGCTTCCGACCCAACGAGACCGTCGCCGCCCATCTGAGGGTGGGGTACGGCGACATCGACCTGCGCACGACGGAGCCATCTGCCGCCGATCGGTCTCAGCCGCTCGCCGACCGCTATCCAGTGTCTGTTGGTGCCGCCCGCCGTCTGCTGCAGGCATTTGAGCTGGAGCGTGACGTCATCGACAGGGGGTGGGTGGTGGATTGAGTGCTGGCTGGCTGGCAATCGGTGTGTGTGTGCCGCAGAGGGGAATGACTGACTGAATGCATCTGTGGATGGATTAGTGAGTTTCTGTGTCAAATCGACGTTTATGTGTTCGTCAGGAATTGGTTCAGTCAAACCAAACCAAAGCTCAGCATTGTCCACGCAGACCATGAGAGGCTGGCTGGCTCGCAGGCACTGACTGTCCATTTATTTTTGCGCCCTCGAGTAGCAAACCACAAGACGTATTGATTATGTTGTCTAGCCAATCACATCAAACACACACACACTACCACACACACGCGGCTGTGTGGCCACCCGTCCGGTCAGTCAGTCATCATCGCCGTCATCAAAACCCTATCGGACACATCAGATGCACACACACACAGAGAGAGACGGAGATGAGCTCCCATCCTATTGCCTGGCTGCCTGCCTTTGCTGCATGGCTGCTCTCTCTCTCTCTCTCTGTGTGTGTGTGTGTGTGTGTTACTTGCCTCTATGACTTGTTGCACGGCCTTGGTGCTAAGGCGGCTCATCTCACCATAGCAGGGCGACAGCGAACTGACACACACACACGTCCATCCATCCATCCATCCATCCATCCATCGACACAGCCACATGGATGTGTGTGTCGAGGGCACCTGAGTAGCCTTTTCCAGGTGTCATCTCGGTCCCCACACCACACAATGCGCCGCGCTATGTCGGCATCTGACATTCACGACACACACTCACTGCACTGGTGTTTGGTGCGCCGTCATCCCTCGTATTGCTCGCCCACCTCAGCTCACCTCTGCACTGGAGTGGAAGCCAGTAGCCCCACCTGTGTGTTGATTGGATTTGATTAGTGTGTGTGTGGCAAGGTAAGGCAAGACAAGGCAAGGCAAGCAGCAGCAACACAGACAGACATTCCACTGTGGACGTCACGTCGGTCGTGTGGGCGTGGGCGTGGGTGTGGGTGTGGATGCAATGCAGCTCACTCACTCTAGCTCTTGCTCCAGCTGCCCGGGGTCCCACCCCGCAATGCCGATCATCTTCTTTTGCTGCACAAACGCACACAAACACACACCCCCACACACACACACACATGCCTCTCAATTTGTGTGGGCGAGGTGAGTACCCGTGTCGGCTTCAACTTGGGCCGGTTGCCGCTGCTAGCCACCGGACTCTCACTGGCTGCCGCCGTCTCGCTGGCTGCCGCAGTCGGCTGCTCATGCACCCCGGCCATGGAGCCACCAGCTGGACGATGCGGCATCGGCTGGTGGAACTCAGTGGCCGTCTGGGCGGTGGTGTGTGTGGGGGGGTGAATGACGGACACGTGGTGGGGGGAGGGGGAAATGGGCGATATGGGCTTGAACGAGTAGGCTGCTGCCGTTGAGAGGCTGCTGCAGTTAGTGCAGTAAATCGAGTGCACGCACATAAGATGCAATTATCGTTTGTCGGTGGTCGGTGGTGTGTGGGTCTGTGCGAGTGGGTGTGGCTTGCCTGTGTTGCCCGAGTGTTGCTGTGGTGGGGTTCTGCGCAGCGGGGGGCTGGTGCTGCTGCCTCTGCATGGCGCCACTGGCCACACCGCCAGAGGGCCGCTTGTAGCCGCGATACATCACACTGGCAATCACCTCCTGCACACACACGCACGGACCGCCAAGCAACGACAGAGAGAGACAGACTGACCTTTCTTTCCCCTTTCCCCCCATAAGCAGCTGACCTCCTCTCCCAGTGGTCTGCAGTCGTGGAACAGCACTTTCTCGGCCACAGGGCCGCCGAACCAGAAATCTCGCCGATTGTACGACTGGCCGGATGGCTGGGCGGTGGAGGGTGGGGGGGACCAGTACTGCTGGTGCCGCTGACACAGAGGAAAGGGGCCGGTCAGTGTGCTGTGTCGATCGTGTTGGTTGTGTTGGTTGTGTGGGTGGTATGGTGTCTGTCTGTCTGGATTCCTCACTGACTCACTCACTTCATTGTGAGTGAAGAAGTCCTTGTAGTGCTGACTCACATGGCGGCGAATCGAACGGGACGAACCAGGGCGACGATTCAGTATCACACCTGCACAATGCGGCCACACACACACACATACGCACATACACACATACACGAAACCTGAGTGTGTTGTGTATGTGTGGTTGCGTGCCTTCGACGCTGCCGTTGGTGTGCCGGTTATGGATCAGAATCACGCTGCGGCTCCTGAAGACCAGCCACACACACACACACATACACACACACACTACGGCAGTGTTCGTCGGTCTTAATGCTGCCTTATGTATGTGCTGACCATATGTCAGTCGACAAAGGGTGGGCGAGGAGAAACAGACCTGACACCGACAACAAGCAAGTACCCAACATGGCCATGTTGGCTCTCTTTGCCCGCTCCCCTAACTGACCCTTTTGCACGGCCGAGCCGTCGATGACGAGTGCGCTGTTGGTGCGCTTCCGCTCCTCGTCGCTCTCCCAAACGTAAGGCTCCTCGAGAGCCACGTCCATGCAGCTCGACCTCACCTGAACCACACACACACACACACGGAGAGACGGAGGGAGGGAGGGTGGAAGGGGGCGTCCTGCCTGCATGCATCTCTAGGTGGTCGATAAAGGGTCGGCTACTCACTCACTCACCCTGCTGAGGTGCCTTATTGCACAGAAAGCCGCGTCCAGCAGCTCGAGTATAGTCTGCACGCCACACAGCAAGGCACCCACTCAAGCATTGCATCGCCCATGTGTGGGGGGGCAAGGTGCCCCTCCTGACTCACTCACTGACATTTGGGTCGGAGTGTTTCCTGAGTTTCCTCTGGAGGAATCTCGTGAGCGACGGCTCCTTGCTGAAGGGGCTGGGCAGGTAGAAGTGCGCGTTGTTCAAGTACTCCTGAAGCAAGGCATTGTACAACGCGCTGCTCGACTCTGCAACCAAAGCAACAAACCCCCGACCCCCGATCTATCTCTCTCTCGCACACACACAACACGCAAGCTTCGTGTGTGCCGTGCCCATCCCATGATCTGTGGCTGACCGCGGTCGTATCTGTAGGTCTCACTGAGGAAGGCCTTGTAGGCGCTCTGCTCATCGAACCAGCGTGTCAGCCGACTCAGCAGCCGGTAGGTCTTCGTGTACACTGAGTGCAGCACAGACAAACACACACACAGACAGCACACACACCATTGATATCCATCCATCCATCCGTATGAGGCCTCCCCATGTCATCCCAGCTGCTTCTTTCCCCGTGTGTCGGTCTGCCTGTCAGCCTGCGTACGTTTCAGGTGGGGTTTGGTGAGGGCCGCCAGCGGGCTGGCTGCCGCCGACTGAGCAGACGCCAGAGATGCCATCGCGCATGAGGGGGCTACAGATGGGAAGATGCCGGGGCGGAGGGACGAGATCACTCGGTTCATGCACTGCACAGACATCCTGAAAGGCTCTCCATCCTCCCACGAAGATCAACACATCTGAGCTCGCAATCGGTGTGGGAGGTTCGTTCGTTCGTTCGTTCCAATGATGCGCCTGATTGCAGCATTGTCGGTCATCCTTCAAGCCTTCTTCCTGCTGCCAAGCGATGCCTTCGTGCAGCTGCTGCGAACTCACTCCCACTGGAGGACAGGGCCGTCCAGAGTGGCAGATTACAATAGTCATGCACGGCGGCTGGTGCCCCTCTATGCGCAGAAGGAGAGCACCGGGAGCGCAGCGACAACCGTCACGCCTTCTTCGGCAGATCCCTCGGAGGGTGATGAAACAGATGCACCTTCCGACACGGCCATGGACACCCCCTCGCCCTCTGCACGGCCTCTTGAGATCCTCCCCACCATGGACAGGGCTAAGCTCAAGAAAGATCTATACCTCATGTGCCCAGGTCGGCAAGACGGTCACACATGCAGGACTGGTCCTCATCTCTCTCTCTCTTTCTGTGCGTGTGTGTGTGTGTGTGATGGGCAGGTGTGAATCGAGGGTTCAACGCCAAGCGGCCTGACTCGGCAGACATCTTAGAGGTATGCACGTACACACGTACGGCCACATAGAAATGCACACATGGGAGGCTGCGTCGGATCCGATCTGACTGACAGGTGCTGGAGCTGCTCGAGAGCGTCAACCCAAACCCACAGCCGAACCTGATGAAGGACGGCTCATCGCCCCTAAACGGCGAGTGGCGCCTGCTATTCACCAACGCCCTCGACGTCCTGCTTCTCGGTCTCATCCCAGCTGTCCAGGTCGGCCAGGTGTACCAGAACGTCAACCTCGACGGCGTCGTCAACGCAGCCGAGAACGTGGTCGAGCTGCAGCCTCAGTTCGATTCGGTGGCCAATCGGTTCTTGGGCAGCACCGTGGCCCGGCTGCGTGTGAGGGCGTCGGCTGAGGTCGAGAGCGACTCCAAACTCTACCTGACTTTCCAAAGCGTGGCGTTCGAGCCCGACACCTTTTTGGGGCAGCTGGTGCCGCGCAACTGGCCGTGGCCTAAGGTCAATCTCAACAGGGAGGGACGGCGGGGTGGTGGACCGGTGGAAACCACCTATGTGGATGAGGATCTGAGGATAGGTGAGCTGAGGGGCCATACAGATCCATCCATCCATCCGATCGATGTGTGTGTATGTGTGTGTGTGTGTGTGTGTGTGTGGATGCAGCCCGCGGGTTCGGCAACGAGCTGTATGTGCTGACCAAGGTTGGACCGGTGCCACCAAGCCTGCTAGAGAAGTGAAAGACGGATTGGGAGATAGACAGACAGATATCAGACTCGAAGCCGAGGAAGTGTTTTTCTCACACCGTTTGTCGGTTGTAGTATGTTTTGTTATGCGTAGATAGCCGGGCGGCTGGACGGCATCATGTGCAGATACGTCTTCTGAGGGCAATCTGAAGGGTTCTGGTGCTGCGTCGGTCTGCATGAGTGTCATGTAGAACCATGCTCCCTTTATACCCACCATGGTCGGTCGCCATCATGTCAGGATTGCCAGCTTGGCAAGACGAACCACTGCGAGCTTGTGAGCTAGGGTAGATTGCTGTGTAACGGAGAGAGAGAGGAGAAGACAAGGAAAGACAAGGAAAGCATTCTGAGGAGACACGATCTTATCAGCCATCACCGAAGTGAGATCTGTGTTGACCACCCTTCATGATGCCATACATGGACAGAAACAACTTTGAC